CATGAGTGACTGTTCAAAGGGCATCCCGATCCAGGAAAGGGCGTAACTGATGCACAACCCAATGTTGAGCAAAGGCCCTCCTTGCCACAGCTGACACCTGCTCTTCAAGCAGGAGCCGTGAGGCTAGGAGGACCCCCGGATTACGCACTGGGTCTGTCTGGGGCAGTGCCACCCCATCCAGCACCAAAGATGGCAAAATCCCGGAAAATGCAAGCATGCTGTCAAATTCTCTCTGCTGTAGCCTTATGGATTATCTTATGGGGAGCAATATGACAGAACTATCCCGGTCATTATCCATGGCGCCACATACCCATCCTCCGGAACACCAGGTTCCAGGGTCCGACAGTCCCGGGGTTCATGGGTCACTTCCAGGTCATCAGCAGGAAACTCAATCAGGTCACGAAGTGGGCCCGGCTCAGCATCTGGCAAGTGACTCCTAAGGTATTCCTCAAAGTCAGTTGGCTCTACCACTTCTGTCAGAGGTACCTGAAGGGAAGGGGAACAAAAAGAGAAAGAAAACAGAGAAACTTACAGGGAAAAAGGAGCACAGGGTACAGCTGATTCATTTAAATTACCTGAAGTTCCTGAACCACTCCTACACCATGCTTGTTGTGATTAGGATAAGATGAATCCACCTCAATCACTTTGCACAAATTTAGAATTTTTGAATGAATGCCCATCATACTCTTACCTTTTTAGGTAAGAAGCCTTATGCAAAGTGCAGAAAGGGAGTAAAAAACAGTGAAAGACATGAGATGGGAAAAAGAAAAGGAAATATAAATTTATTCAATACTGTATACCTCTCCGTAGCAAACCTTACTTCCTTCATAGTCAGACACTGATTCATACACTGTCTTTTGCCCCTTAAACAACTCATTTCTCTCTTTTTAAGGACCTCATCAACTCCATCCAACCATGATTTTCTCAATCTTTCCCTTTCTCTCAACTCATTCACTCCCCCTTCACGTTTTCAACATTTGATTCTCATTCATTTTCTCTATAAGACCAAACCATTTCAAAGTCACTCACTTTAACAATCTGTCCACATTCACTCAGCACACATTAATGTTTTACTCTTTCTCTTCTTGTTAAGTACCCAAATGAAAGCTGACTCAGTGATTTTGCCCTAGCAACTCTCTCTCAGCCCAACCCACCTCACAGGGTTGTTGTTGTGGAAAAAATAGGAGTTGTACAAGTTGTACAAAATAAAGACAGGATATAAATTATCATCATCATCATCACCATCATCATCACCATCACCATCATCTCCACTGCATTCAACTTACACCTATGTTTCACCTGAAATATCTATCTCTCACATCTCACTTTCTAATCAGGTGGGCAGATGCAGGCCCCCATAGACATTTTTATATCTTTTACATTTTTACATCTTTCATCAACAAACAGTCATTCCTCACAACAGGACCTTTTCCCCCTAGCTAGAGGGTAAAAGTTTATTAGATTGAATAAAGTATTACATTTAAAGGTAATGATCATTGCACGAAGGTATGTAAAGCTGCTAGCTCTCATTTTTTGCCATAAATATGCATGTCATGCAATTATTTCCTCCATTTTCTCTTTCAAACACAACTGCCTTGGTCTTTCCTGTTCAGATGCATACTCCTCGCTGCACCATACAAGCTATCTAATATTTGCTGCAAATCATTTTAATTCTTAGCCAACACAAAATCATCTGCACACAAAACTATACACACATTCATGTCCCTAACCCACACACCTATAGCTTTGTTATTTTAATATTTAAATAATGAATAATTGCAAGTTACATAAATGGAGAAAAACTAGAACATGTGGTTGAATTTCTACCTTAGCAGAATATTTACTAAAGATGGGGAAATGGATGGAGAAATTTTAATAAACTGAAACACTCACAGAACAGATGGTGGTTATGTGTAGTCTGCCGTGAGAAATGAATATCTGAGAAAATGATTGTCTATACCAATAAATTTCTGCCCCCTAATTGCATGGAAGGGAGAGTATGTCACGAGAAACATATATCTAAGATTTCCCTTCTTCCCCAAGGGAATAGGACATTTAAGAAATGTATGTGGTAAAACAAGAAGAAACGGCAAAGAATGAATGGACTTTGAATGAATGTGGACTGAAATCAAAGGGGAGTGACCAGTATGAAAGTAGTACGTTGAGATGGTTTTGTCATATAGAGAGAGCAGGCACGGATTCAATCACAAGACAGATGGACCGAGATGAAGGGGGAAGTACAGGAAATTGGGACTGGCTGGAGATAATGACGCCCTGAATCAGAATGCAACGAATGAAGCGGTTTATGGATGAGGTGGCAGCAAGGATGGTTTATAGAGATGCAAAGGTAGGGACAGGTATAGGGGATGGCATTAGTATAAACTAAACTTAACTATATTTCTTTTTCCTTTTCTTATTCCATGGCTTAAATTTCTTGAAATAGCATGCCTATTTCTTATTCCTTTTGTGTACTTATACCAAAAGAGAATAGTGCAACATATGGTACATCTCATACTTTGCCACAAAAACATGCTAAATATGGTAAGCTTTCTAGTACTCAAGGAGGAAAATGGTAGAGAGCGGCAGCATCTTCCGCACGTGAAGGAATGAGGCCTACCTCCAAAAGTAGACGCCACTATCAGCTTGCCCTTTTATCAATACAGTACTCTACAAATACAAATAGAATTGTAAAACAGAAAACGTATTTAAATAACAATGTTTAAAATTCCCATTAGTGTGCAAATGCCTGCATGGCTTCCTTTATGTTGCCAAGAAGCTTACCTTTTATTTATTCACTTCCCCAGATTCTATCTGTGTGATCTTAACATGTTCTAATCCATATTTTTATTTTATTGCCATCTTAACCACTAACTATGGTTTAAAACAAGTCGTCACTTAAAACAAAACTCTTCTTTTTCATGTTGCTACAGGATTCTACATGAAAAAGCATTTTCAGCAAACCAAAAGCCTGCAAAAGATGATTGGCTCTGTATATGCACTCTGGAATTAAAAGGATATATTTAAAAGTGAATGGAGGAAACTAGGTTCCACACAAATTATATCAACTGAGCAACCTTGTTTAGGATTTTCTTACTCAGTGTATCATAGTTCATTTCACGTAAATATAGGTTTATAGAAGTTATACATGGCCTCATGAGCACAAAGATGCGGGGAGGGGGAATAAAAGAGGTCTGGCCCCCACTAAATTCCTTTCTGCCTTCCCCCTGAATGTTTTCAGACTAATGATGTTTAAATAACTGCACAGGCAAGGTGAGATGTTTCTACTTTCTATAACTCTGCAAGCGACTTAGACTAGATACAGAAAACATACAATCGTCTTTCTTTTTAACAGCTTTTAGACCCATAGGCTACTACCTCTTTCTCAAAAGACATTGCCAATCTTAGTTGTGGGTTTGGTCTCATAATGTTCGGCTGCCTCTGCTGTGCCAGATTTAGATATAAATGACCTGATCTTAGGACCTTCCATTATGAGAAGCCTATGGAAACAAGCAGACAAAAAAACCTTCCAGTTATACATATTGAGCTTTCATTTAAAGGGTACTTCTAGTGCAAATAAGCTTACTGAAAGATCACAGGTTTATTAGCTTTTCATTGCAATTCTGCTAAGTAACTAAAATTTTATTATTTCTATTTTCATTTTCCCTTTTTAAAAATAAGTCATAATCACTTCAAAGCAAACATCCACTGTAAATTTCTTTTCAAGAACCCCCTGAGATGGACAATGTAACACCTTTATCAGATGAAAAAAAAACTGCTGGATTTAACCCTTCATTATTATCAACAGGCCCACCAATGATTTGAAAGGGAACCTTTTTCTGAGAAATCAACAAGACATTCAGTTGATTTCCTGTAACCACAACAAGGAACTCAGGTAAATAAAACTGCACAGTCTCATATTTTACCACTCTCAGAAATTATAATGCTTGACCATACATGGGGATCCAATGTTCATCAGTTGTCTTCTAGTTAGGAGTAGATGCAAACAGGTTACAGTTACTTAAATTTTCTATGAGAAGAGATTAAAAACTGTAAAAAAATAGGAGCACTCATTCCTACAAATGCTAAGTACACAAGCCCTGAAATCTAAATTAAACAATATATATCATGAGTGAGACAAGTGTATAAAATATTATGAAGCAAACCAACAGAAGTCCTTGTCTTACACTGTGGGCTGATGAGGCTAAGGATAAGCAAGAGGCTGAAGATCTACCAAGTGTTCTCTGGTATCTTGTAAATATGAAGTCAATTAAATGGTGTGTTGCTATTCATAACCCGCTCCAAGTACATCTGAAATTCTGTCAACACTGAATGCCTTCAGTTACATTTGGACCAGCTAATTCCTCAGTCATAAAAAAAAAAAAAGCATTATCTGGTAGTGTTCAGTTGTTTTAATCACTAATTTAATTTGCTAACAATGATTGAGGTGAAAGAATATTCTGACTTAAGTGAACAGGTATATGTGTGTGTTTAAATCTCTCTCTTTTAAGAAGGGCATGTTGCTCAGATTTATGAAGACTGTTCTAAAATTACTTTGGGTTCAAAAATCGACCGGGCATTTGGGTTTGATTATGGTTACAGATTCTAGTAAATGTTTCATTCTTTCTACGCTCAGATTTATCAGTGAAAACTTCCCCTGATGAAAAATCTGATCATCTGAAAACTAAAGTGATTGGATTGTACAATCAAATGAGTAGTCTTCCCTTTTCTTTCTTACTGAAATTATTATCCTAAAGGTACTGGGATGTCCAAAACCTACAGCATCACTGTTATAGCAGAAGGGCCTGGATGTCAAGGCAGCACTAAAACTTACTGGAGTTGCAACAAATGCAAGATAATTGTTTTCAGCAAGGCTTCTGAAATACCGAGAAAGTAAGTGAGTTTGATGATGGCTCTGAAGCATACACTTCATCAACTCTCAGAAGATGGTTATGATACTACTGCTGATAGCATTAATTTTGAAGGAAAGATTGAAGATGAATTAGAGATCAGAAGCCTTTACAACAATGTAATTCACTACTGTCCTCAAGAACTGGAAAATATTCCATTTCCAAGGACTGGCCTTTTGGTTGATGTTGCATTGACAATTCCAACTAGCATTGTAACAGCTTTTTCCATTTAACATCAGTTTTACATCCACAGAGTTTGTCAATATAATGTGATTGCAAAAATGACATTGTCCTTTAAGTTATGACATTAAGTTATGGCATTTGGATAAACTTATATTTTACTAGAACATACTGGGTTAGAAGAAAACTTTTCAATAAAACTACAAACATATTGCTATAGTTGTTTAATGAAAACAACAGCTAATGCTGAACCATTACACAATGCACAGTTCTGCTCCTTTAACAAGTGAAGATACAACAGAATTCAGAGAACTGTTGTGCTATGGAGCTGTTATTATTCCAAGAAGAGAAAGAAGAAACAACTGCTGGATTCATCTCTCCTGAGACACAATAATTTTG